CCCAGGATTGTAGAGCAGCAATAATGTCAGGTGTCCTCTTTCATGGTCATGTTTGGCAGGCAGCACAGTCTGTCAAATGCAACATGCTGTATAATTTTTGCCATGGTGACTGCAGTAAAGTATACAACCCTTTTTGGCTGCAATGCAAACATAGCAGTGGGTGGCTAGGTAAAACCAGTGATTGCGAAGCCATGGTTTCTAATTTTCAGACCTATTTAATGACTGGCTTGGTGCTGATAAACTGGCGCAAGGCCAATGTGATGCCTTTAAAGGAGAACTATGAGGCGAGTGCTTTTCACTCACCTCATAGTTCTAGCCGACCTGTGACAAAGACTGTCACAGGTTGGCTCAGTAGATCGGGAGGTGAGCAAACACATACTGGGTTCGCTCACCTCTCAATCCTGTCACGGCTCTCTGACAGGGGAGGGGCTGGATTCCCCTCTCCGATCTGCCAGCGCTGACTGGCGGAACGGATGGGGGCGGGTACAGCTGGCTCTGCCTCTAGATAGGCAGAGCCAGCTGTCACTCACGCAGCTGGGTGGATCTTGACATCGATGTCGGGATCTGCTCCAGCGTCTCAGTATACCGCCAGCTGTAGCTTGCGGTATACTGAGCCTAGGGTGACGGGAGGATGCTAGTTTGTGTCCTCCCATTACCCTAAGGAGAACTATGGGAAAAAGCCCTGACCCCATAGTTCTCAATAGAAAAAGGGATTAAAGTCTCTATCAAACTCTAGTATCTTCCAGCTCTGTAGTTACTAGGTAAAGGATCACATGTTTTTTTTTGCTTAAAAAAAGTGCCATGGATTCACAAGACGGGAAGTGGTCACACATCTATTTTTTTTTTTTTTCTTTTCGAGGAATTAAGCTGGGCAAAGGGGTAGCTGTGAATATAGTATACTTGAATTCTGAAGTGTGTGTAATTTTTATTTTTTTTTCCACTTAGCCCCATGTCATTGGGATGTGACAAGCTCTCTTTATTCATCCAATACAGGAGTTCTAGTGTGAAGGAATATGGATCATATCAGGAAAATGTCCTTTTCTATGTTTTAAATTGTTTTGAATTAGTTTAATTTGCTTCCTAGCTTTGTGACTCTCCTTACTCAGCTTTTAGCGTTGCTATGCGTAACCAAGAGAGATATCCTGTATTCGGGAGCGCGCCAAGGACACATCGGAGGAATGCAGAGGGAGGACGCTACAAGCAGAAGATATCTTTGACTAACCAATTAGTGAGAGACACGAGACTTTAACTAACAGTTCCTCTAGTTTGCCCAATAGTATAATAACAGAGGTGGGCATATGTGTGACGAGCACTCTCCTGTTATCTGTGTATAAAGGAGAGAGACCGCCCTGAATAAAGCAGAATCTTCATAGACCGTTAATTCTGAGTTTGTGATTTCTCCGGTGCACCGTACACAAAATAATTAGAAACAGCAGCAGACATCTTGTGTGAACCCAGTTGTGGTTCAGATCCATTTCACTAGCACAGTACTATGCTTCTCCTGTAAATGGAAAGCTGCGAGTGCAGCATTCCTGTGCCAGTGCTCACATAGAGCAGAGAACGAACGGACGTTCTCTACTCTACAACCTGATTTTATTTGCTGTGGTTCTGGCTTCCCCAGAAGTGTGGGGGACCCTGAAGCAGCAGAGGGCTGTGACATAGTGGGCACGGAGAGAGGCAGTGTTCGGGGAGGGGGGGAGTGAGAATTGGGCTGCTTAAAAGTACAGCCGCTCAAGATCACTTTTACAAAACTGCTCCCCCTCTGTATTTAGCACTTCTGCTTGCCCTTGCCAAATGTAGAAAAAAAAAAATACATGTCCCAGGTGTGGGATGTTTGTAATTCCACACCCCTGAAAGGGATGGTGTCAAGAGTTGAGCTTTACCCATGGTATATCAATCATAACCCCCCTACTTCTCCAATGGCCTTTTCTTTGCCAAAGTTAATGCAAGCAGGTACCTAAAGGACATGTGCCTGCACTGTGGAACCAGGCCCCCACCAAAGGTAAGCCTGCAGGATTACTCTGAAAATTTCAAGCCACCCTAGTTAAGAGACAGTTTCTCAGTGTCATGCCTTTCCATGGTGTGGCAATGTGAAGGGGTACTCTGTGAAAGGGGGCTAATGATGGGAATAGTGCTTTCTGATTTGAATGGTTGAGAAATGCTGCTATAAATCAAAACCTCAGCTGACAATTATAAATTATTTGGCAGATAAATATGTATTTACACTGTCTGTTTTTGCTTTGCTTGGAGTTTGTGACAGCAATTAATTCTATATATTTTTCAAACTTAAGAGAACTGCTTTGAAGGTGTTCAGACATCAGTTAACAGAGCCCAGCTGGTACTGATGGCCTATACTGCAGGAATCTAATAAACCATCAAAAGAAACCACTAGTCTGGCCTTTGATCTCTTTGGGATACCAAACTTGAATATACAGTCATGGCCAAAAGTATTGGCACCCCTGCATTTCTTTCAGATAATGCACCACTTTGCACAGAAAATTGCAATTACAAATGCTTAGGCATTCTCATGTTTATTTATTTTGTAGTAGTATGAGACAAAATTAAGTTTTTTGGTGAAGCCCATCATTGTGTTCAGAAAAAGAAAAAAAAAGTCCCTACAGTCAAACATGGTAGATGTTTGATTCTTTGCTGCTTCAGGCAGTGGATGTCTTGACTGTGTGCATTGCATTATGAAATCTGAAGACTACCAAATAATTCTGGGGTGCAATGTAGGGCCCAGTATCAGAAAATTGGGGCTCTCAGAGAACATGGGTCTTACAGCAGGACAATGACCCAAAGCACACATCAAAAAGCAACCAAAAATGATTACTGGACTGGCCAGCAATGAGTCCAGATCTGTATCCCATAGAGCACCTGTGGCGAGATCTGAAATCAGCAATTGGGGAGAAGTAACCCATCAAATCTAAGACGTGGAGCAGTTGGCAAAAGAACAGTGGTCCAAAAATTTGTGAAGAAAGGTGTAAAACTCATTGATGGTCACAGGAAATTGGTGATTTCAGTTTTTTTCCCCGCAAGGGCTGTGCTACCAACTATTAATTGAGGGTGCCAATTTTGTCCAGTCCACTTTGAGTTTTGTGTGGAATGTTAGATTTGGCACCCCCCTTTTGTCATACCAAATCAACAAACATGAGCATGCCTAAACATTTGTAATTGCAACAATTTTCTGTGGGAAGTGGTGCATTCTGACAAATGCAGGGGTGCCAATATTTTTGGCCGTGATTGTAAAAGAAAAAAGCCAATGCAAAATATGCCAGTATCCAAGATCGCCCAAACCTCCATGTAAGCCATTTAATAGATACATTGAGCAACACCAGTTCATTTCCATAACTATTTTGTGCATCCATAGTGGACCCTTAGATAGCCATCGATGCAAGGCTCAGCTGTGTGGGTCACTTATGTAGAATGCATTGATCAAGGCAATAATCTGAAAGCTGAACATTATCTACATTTGTTTTGCAATGGACCCACCAAAATATAGTAAAGGCTTTTGCCAAATTTTGTTTAAAAGCTTCCACCTGAAAATGTGGCAATTTCCCGGTAACATTAGTTCTCGGGCCAGTAATAAGCCTGTATAAAAGCTTTCAGAACTTGTCTTGATGCTATCATTTTATAATAGTAGAGTTCTTCATTCATACAGGATACAACCTACAGATGGTCAAACTTGACTGATGACAGTTGGGGATGTTTATTATTCCTCAAACAATAGAAATATCTGAAGCATCAACAAAAGAGGCAAAATTGGTGTAGACACCAAATAAAAATGTACTGTTCGCATAGACACAAGGTGTTTTTGATTTGGCAGATTAAAAAGACAGCTCCTCTCAGGACAACGATGTCAGAAGAAAAAGCAGATGGATATGTATATCTGCATTGTTTAAACTGCTAAGACAGGATAAATGTCTTGCGTGTACCGGAGGATGTCATGTTAAAGTATAGAAATTAATTGGGGGCTTACAGTTAGGATGATCCAGTGCCTGCAATTCTTCCAAAGAGGATGTTATTTATAAACAATTAACCAATGACTCTATAAAAATCAACTTTTCAACCAGGGTGGTAGTGGGGCTGTGATGTGAAGGGGGGGAAATGAAGACCGAGGTGAAAAGGGGGCTCCTGATATAAAGGGGAACTCGGATATGAAAAGGAGGCTACTGATGCAAAGAGGAATCTTGATTTGAAAGGATACTTAAATGTGAATGGGGAAACCCACTGGTTTTACGTGTGGTCCCCCTTTACAAAAATCGATGACATTTTAGACCAGGGTGCCTCAAGATTTTGCTTCTTTTAAAAGGGTGCTGTGAAACACTGCTCTATCACCCACAAACCGGTGATACAGATGCAGTATCCTACTACTTGCACATAAAGTTTTACATCAGGTTTATACAAGCAGACTGTAAACTAGTTACATAGCCAAAAAGCCACCAAATGAAATTGAAGGTTAAGAGATTTTAATGGGACTTGTACAAAAACAAATGGTGCGTACAGATATCAAATGACAGAAAGAAAAATACCTTTTCAAAATTTGCACAGAACATACTGCAAAAATTAAATAAAAAATACTAACATGATTTTATGCAATTGTGAAATGGTTTTCCGTTCTGATGTAGACCATTTTGACCTCAGTTATCTTTTGAGAAAGGTATCAGCCCACAAAACATTTCCTTGGGCAATCTGATACAGTCAAAAGACAGAAAGTAGTGTTCTACCAACAGATTCTTGGAAATGACAAGTTCAGTAGGTGGACAAATCTTACAGGAATTCTGTGAGACTAGAAACAGGCAAGCCACTGACCTGAAACAACCATAAATAGCAGAACTCACATCTTTCAGACTTCACTGCCTGCATGCTTGTTCCAGGTCAGCAACTCGCTAGGGCATTAAACCAAAATAAGGAAGCAGTGCTCGCAACTTTTAAAAAAGCAAGCCACGGCAGCCCCCGTGTTTCTATCTTCACTTAAGTAATTTTTTTTCCTATGGCCACTAATCCTTGGACCTATACATTTTAACTGTGAAAATTGCATACAAGTTACACCGAGAAAAGAAAACAAATTCTAATACATTCTAGCATTTAACAAATTTTTTCAGATTCTCAAGGAAATGGATGTATTCATGATGCTCTAAAGCAGTACTGAGCTCCACAAGTTCATCAGCAAATGTGTTATCAATTCCACGGTCCCCCAGGAAATCCATCAGATGGTCATAAAGGGCCTGCAAGTAAAGCAATTCAGATACATACAATAAGAAATTGTTGACTACAGTTCTTAAGTTAGCATATTAAACAAAGAGCTCTAAAGCAGATCTAAAAAAAAAAAAAATCTGACTGTATGAAGTGAAGACAATCAAAAAGTATTACAGCCTACTATGAGCACCTTAATCAAGGCATTAGAAACCACCATCCAATGTACTATTCGTATGTGATGATTGAGCAAAGGAAAACCAATACTGCATGGAGCTGGGGCTCACAAGCATGCATTACTTAATGGATGTGCAGGTTTTATGAAGTAGCAATCTCCCAATGTGCTGACCATTCTCTGGAACTATCAAAAGCCATCACACATGTATAAAATTAGTCACCTTTGTTAAGAAACTGATAACATACTATTGTATATACACCAATCAGCCATAACATTATGTGAAGTGAATATCTCATTATAATGGCACCTGGAAGTGGGTGGGATATATTGGGGAGCAAGTGAACATTCTGTCCCTGAAGTTGGTGCGTTAGAAGCAGAAAAACGAGTAAGCATAAGGATCTGCGTGACTGACAGGGCCCAAATTGTGATGCTTGACAACTGGGTCAGAGCAACTCCAAAACTGCAGCTCTTGTTGGATGTTGCTGGTCCTAGCAAAAGTGGTCGAAGAAGGAAAACCGATTACAGGGTCATGGGCAGCCAAGGCTCATTAATGCACGTGGGGAGTGAAGACTGGCCAGTGTAGTCTGATCCAATAGAAGACCTACTCTAGTTCAAATTGCTGAAAAAGCTAATGTTGGGTCCGACAAAGGTGTCTGAAACACACAGTGCATTGCAGTTTGTTGCATAAGGGGCTGCATAGCTGCAGACTGGTCAGGGTGCCCACGCTGATCTGTGTCCACCACCAAAAGTGCAGACGATGGGCACGTGAGCGTCAGAACTGGACCAGGGTGCAATGGAAGTCATCTGGATGGTCATGTGCGTGTATGTCACTTACCTGGGGAACTGAGGGGAGATGGGTGGTGGAAAATGTTTCTTAAAAAACAAAAATGTTTTTCTTCTGAAATAATTGGCTTACTGTCCTGCTCCAAAAGCTAACATTGAGATGCAAGTCAAATTTCAGCCATCCCTGCCATAGGAGTTCCATTGTTTGCGACAGGCACTCTAAAGCAATGCAAACACTGCAGATTTCCATATCACAATACTAGCATTGCACCAGGTGATCATATTGAAGGCAGATCATTGCACATAGGTTTGAGAAAGGCCTAGGTAAAACGGACTTTCTTCACTACACAGCAGAAAAATATGAATCTGCAAAAGGTTTGCAACCAATGGGACCAAAAGGTCCCCCAAACTGAGAAAAATGGAAATAAAGTGTTAGAGGAAAGCAGAAATCAAGAAGAAATAAATAGATACCAACCCAGTCAAGAGAATCTGTGCCAAGAGTGTAGCTGTTGTCTTTCCAGTCAGTCTCTCCAGTGGGCTGGAAGCTAACCTCTCTAATACTGAAAATGTCACTCTCTTCTTCTTCACCACGTCCAACCTTAAACACAACAGGAAGAGCAAAATGTTACATCGTAAAAAGGTGATATCAGTACAATGCATCTAACAGATAAAATAGTTTTTATGTCCTTTTGAAAAACTTTATCTAAAACAATTTTACAATAATCGTACGATTGCGGGATCACCCGCAATTATCGTACGATAAATTGGCAGGTGTATGGGCACCTTTATGGTGCAAAGAAGTTTAACTTCAAATGTGCAAATGTCTAACCAGATGAGCATCCACCAGTAGAGCGTGGTGGCTTGCAGTGCTGCTGTGCAGAAGAATTCAGAGGGCCTATATCAAGACTTAAAGATAGCAAAATTCCTCTACTTCTACAAGCGGTATGCACAATACACACAATGAATCCATAGCTGGAATAAAGTGTCTTTATATCTGCCTGCAATTCAGTTTTAATCCTTTGTAAGCTGATATTTTTCCCCAACTGGAATAATATTCAATTTTTGTTTTAATTGAGCAGTAAAAGGATTGCTTTAAACAAAAAGATTTTTAGGGGTCCAAACATTTTCATACTCGCCAATAACTGTGATGTTCCATTGTGCCGGTACAGTTTCCCAACTGATGCTACAGTCTTGTATTGTTTAGAAAACACCCATAAATCACGTCTCTAACACCATACTAGATTATTGCAAGCAATCCTCTAAATGCTGCATGGGTATGTACAGTTTACGGGTGGGAATTTATAAAAACTGGAGCAGAAAAAAATCTGGTTGCCGTGGGCAACTGCTCCAATCAGCTTCTCTTTAGTTTGCTCAGTTAAGATTTGAAATTAAAAGGTGGATGCTGATTGGTTGCCATGCACAGCTGCTCCAGTTTTGATAAATTCCCCCACTGTCTTTATATTACAGTAAGGGTCTGTTAACACCAGCACAACACTCAGTTTTAGTGCGTGGACTAGTGTGCCAAGTGAGGTCCGGATGGTGGGCAGCATGACAGAGTTTTATTTGGAGCGAGACCTACACATTCAGGTCTCACCACAGCAGAGCAGTGTGCTATGCTATGGTAACCTGCAGTGCAATCCAGTGCCTTGTGAAAAAATGCAGCAAGTCTGCATTTTATAGAACTGCACCACACATCACACCTGCATTGTTAGCTGAACGTGGTATATAACTAAACACTTGTTTTGTACGTACCCTAGCGGTGACTGGCATTGATCCAGTGCTAAAAAAGTCAGTCACTGCTAATGGTATGAAAGAGCCCTAAGGCAAAATCTTACACAACAACCAGTCCATGGTCTATATAGAGTATTTTCATCTCATTGCTGGAAATAATGGTTGCTGTCCTAAATGATAATCATTATAGCTCCATAATGTTCTATAGGCATCGGATATTTCTCCTGAATGCTAAAACTAAAACTATGTGAACACATAAAAACTTTAATTCATGGGTTTTGCTAGCTCTGTGTGGGAAGCTGGAACATTACCTCATCTTCAGGATAATGGCAGTCAAGAACCAATGTCTTGTTGCTATCGAGCTTTGTAACTTCTACGACAAAGTTGGGTGTGGAAATGAGTTCAGGCTGGAGAAGAAACAATGTCTTGTTAGTTTTACTTTATCTTATTACAAATTCTTTTTCAACAAATATGGCCGTAGCATATCCCATGATGTGCTATAAATGATAAAATAAAAGGAATATATAAACATATTTCCCCTAAGAGAAAATTGTTTAAAACTTACTTCATCCTCTTCAGCCTTCTGAGCTTCTTTAGACTCCTCATCAAAGGATGGTGGAATGCTGTTGTTTGTATTAAATGTTACAGTAATTCTACAGAGTAAAAAAAAAAAAAACTTATTGTACATACAAACATTTAAAGGCACATGTACAAATAATATGCACTTATAAGCAAGATCAGGTGCTAATCTGGTCATGGAGTTCAGATAATGACACCATGTATTTGGTGTATGTAATCACAACAAACACTGTAAGACAGGCATCCCAGCTAAAACTGGAACATATTGTAGCCACAGAAAAGAAGCATTTTAGAGGGAGGTGAACAATGGCAATCATTATACTTCTCTCTGCACAGGGTTGCAGGCCAATCAGCGTAAGTGCACACAGTGAACAATTTCTCAAAAACAGGGCAATTGTACATCCAACTATTGCTAAAGGACACATATGTATTTAGATACGGCTAGGCAGGACCTCAGAAGCAAAGGCCCAGTTGCATCTGCAGTCACTGCTACCCTGTTCCTAAAATAAATGCCCTTGAGCTTTTAACAGTGTAATGCAGACAGGCAAAAACAAATCTAAATAGTCCGTCTTTAGTTATCCAACATGTGCAGCGTTAACATCATTTTTTTTGGTTATTTAGCACAACTTACCAAGAGAATGATTCAGAGCCCTGGGAGATAAAGGTGAGAGGTCACCTGAAGTCTGACAGCTGCTGCTTTTACTGACAACATACACCGTCTCCTAAATGTGCATGACAGTCACAATACAGATCCTGGCTAAGAAGAATGTGAACAACTACAGAACTTCATGTTTGATACTCTTGGTTACTTAGGAGCTAGAAGACAGCATGTGTTCACAGCATTATTTCAGGATGCGTCTCTTCCTTGACTGTCTGCCCTGGAGTAGTGGTGGGCAACTCCGGCCCTCCAGCTGTGCTTTAACTACAAATCCCAGCATGCGAGTAATGCCTGTACCTGTCAGCCTTGCAATGCCTCACAGGACTTAGTTCCACAACAGGTGGAGGGCCGGAGTTTATGGAGCCTGCCCTCCAATACAGATGATCCAGCACAGCATTGTGCAGGATCTTCTGTACAGCTCCACATGCGACAGCTGACACGGAAAGGCTGTGAGTACAGCTCTCTTGTTGCACTGATCAGATCGGAGGACGAATGTCTGGTCTGATCCCCATCCTGAAATCATTGCTGTGGTTCCAGGGGGCCTGGGAGACTTTTGGCTGCTACAAGTGATCTGGGAGGCTGCACAGCCACCCAGTTCACTTGTACAAAACGAGCGGCTGCTCTACATTTAGCCCCGCTTGCCCGAAGCAGGGCTAAATGTAGAAAGAAAAACACTTGGGCGATAGGAATTCCACGCCCCTGCATGAGACTGAAGATGTCTGACTGGAGCATTAAAAAAGACCCCAAATATCTAAATACATGTATAAATATGTGACATGGAGGACTGTGGGAGCTTCTTTTTTCATAACTTAATTTCAACTTTAAATGTACAGCTACATCTTTGCTACAAAAAAACCCCCAACCTGTCTTTGCTAGACCCCTATGACAATTTAACTTAGAACCTCGCTCCGAGGGATTCTTATGCTGCAGCTTCCTACAGTGTTTACATTGTTAGTGCAAAAAGTATGCATCACAGGTTAGGTTAGCTTAGGAGGCTAAGGCTTTTTGTAGCAAATGTGGAGTTTTACTTTAAGAAAAACAAAAAAAAAACAAAAATGATGCTCACAGCTGATGACAAAAGTTGAGCATTGTACATACTTCTCTCCAGAAACTTTACGGGTCAGCTTAGCTTCTGTTCCGTTGACTTCCATTTCCCACCCACCAGACATTTTGGGGAGGTGCTTGTGTTTCTGGATTTTTTTCTCTTCTTTGATTTCATCATTCAAAAATTCTGCAAAGGCTTTGTCTCCTGAAACAATACAGGTTGTAATTTAGCAGCGGATAAAATAATATTTTGCTGAGAGAATGATTTACATAAGAAATATTACTTTACTCTTTTAAGTAGGGATACACTGATACCGAGTATTTGAGTGTACTTACTCGCCCAAATGCTCCGAAAACTTAGCCAGATGCCGGGACAGTGCCACGAGGACACATGGAGCTGGCTTCCTGGCCAATCAGGAAGCCGGGTGGCACGTCATGACCCGCTGCCCAGCTTCCTGATTTGCTAGGAAGCCTGCTTAACTTGTTGCTAGGCAGCCTGGCTTCCTGACCAATCAAGAAGCCGAGTGGCATGCCATGACCTTCGCCCCCACATGGAAAGGGGCCCCGTCCACCCCTCCTCTGGAAATGGGGGCCTTTCCCCCCCAGAAATGGTGGCCCTTTGCCCCAACCCACTGTAAAGGGGGCTCTTCCCCCCCCCCCCGCTTACCCCCATA